GATCTTAATTCCATTAATCTTCACTTGACTATGTCAAGCAAATTACAGACTTCTTTAATTAATTCAAAGAAGAGTTTTTAAATAAAATAGATATCATCTAAAAATAGACTATCAATGAAGCTTTGAAATATCCTATTGATACACAACAAATCATCAAAAGATATTAGGAAATTTCAAACATTCTTTAGTTTAAGTAGATTCTTAACAACGAATAATCAAATAACCTTCAAGATCATTCAACTCTTTGTAAAGAATTTATCTCATAAATGGAGTCTCAAAAAGATAAAAACACTGAATTATTGTAAAGTCTACTTACCTAAGCAAATTAATTAAAAACAAATTTCAACATGGAATATCCTCAGATCATTAAATAATAATTATTTACTTTTATTGATAACATTTCTTTCTTCAATTTAGGTATTCCTGAAGTTAGTAGTACAAATCATAATTTCACTGGAAATCATTAGGAAACTAACATTATAAATCAAAGTAATTTTGGAGATTTAAAACTAACATCTGACTTAATCATGAAGCTTGTTTCTAATAAATCAAACTTTTGCTCTGACTAATTCTTAAACAAGCTAAGTGAGATTCTTTAAAGAATAAACCCTCTACTTAAATAGTTTACTTTCAACACAGCAGTTTTCAAGGAGAACAAAGAACAAATTGATTTTTCCAAGATTAGTGAGGAAAAAATAAATTTGATAGAAGAATATGTAAAGCATTCAATTGCTTTGTCAAGAGGGGAATAGTAATATGAATAGGAAGTAAAGGATAGTTTAGAAATCAAATAAATGACTTAAATTGTAGATTCTAAAATGAGTTTCTTGAAGTAAGAATTCATATAATAATTTGAAAAGTTCTTAGTTGATGTAAAACCTTTCTTAAAATAGATTAATTTCACTAATACTTTTACTGACAAAAATAAATTTGATTAATTCAGAAAAAAATATTTGAAAGATAAATAATTGTGTGTTTTATTTGATGAAATTTAATTCATTTCAGATCTAAAATTGTTTGCAACTTAGTTTAAGAATGGGTAGAGAGATAGTGTGGTAAATAAGAGAGAAAATGGTTATTATGAAATTGAAAAATTAAATAATAATGATTGGGTGAATTGTATATCAAATACA